ACCGCCCAAAGATCGTAACTTTCTCCATCAAAAATAGGTGGAAAAATTTGTGAAAAGTTTATTTCTACTTCCATCTCCAAGATCGTAACCTTAGCTCTGATACCAATGATGAGATTATTTTATGATATTTTTTTGAAGAAATATTTTATAAGAGTTATTTTTATCAGATGAATATAATATAATTTTATTCATGAGTCTCTATTTATAGAAAAAATTTGTTATACAAAATCAAATATTGATATTATCCTATTCTAAAATAAGGAAATAAATCTTAAAATAATCAAAACTGATTAAATCTAAATATTTGAAATATAAATAAAATACTTATAAAAAACTAACTTAATCTCCTAAAGATATTTAGGCATATTCCCAACATCCATAACGGCATCTAACCAACCGTGGGAAAAAATATTGTAAAGCTAATCATCCTTTAAATACAATGAGAGGGTAATGATAGGCAATGATGTTCTAATAATTTCTCCTTTCGTTGTGAAATGGATAAAAAATTCATGCCAGGAGCACTTTCTAATCATGTTCTGATCAGACAAAGTTTCAGTGTCCAATAGATAACTTTCAAAACCTCAATTGGAGAGAATGTCATTACAGCAGCATTCAACTGGCAATAGCGACATCTTAACATGATCACCAAGGAATGAAGCTATCCGCATTTAATTCTAAAACTACCCCATAAATACCACATCAGGTTAATCATCTTTCTTTTGTCAACCCAATTATCCAGAAATTCATGCACATAGAGATCACTAATTAGAATCAGTTTAACATGCTAGAAGGCCCTTGCTAATATTGCAATTCAATTCTGATATTTTGCTGAAATAAATGCATGATCCAATTAGTCAAACAAATTTTATTCATACCTCGGATGAAAACATATATGGTATTAGTATCTCATCCAAGAGAAATTATTTAGAGATGACTAATGAGATAACTATAATAATATTTTTATAAGATTTATAAAGTTGAGTTAAATTTATAATTTATATATTTTCTAAAGAATAGGGTAATCAAAGATCATCACATATTTATGATCCTAGCTAATATCCATGTAACATTTAGTCGGTTTTTTCAATTTTCAAAAACAATAATAATACTCAATCATGTGACGGATATATTAGGACCATGATAGTTTAAGATCCCTAATAATTTCTCCTACCTAGAACTTCTGGTAGTAGGAAGCTCCATTCCCTCTAAAATGCAGCAAATGTGAAACTTTTCCATTGAGTAGTTAATGAAGTTTTTCCACATAGAGCCTCCATAGACCATGGCCAAGCATGCAACCATTCCATACTGTGGTCAACCAGCTATTCAAAGACAGAAAGATATTAATGCCACAAAATAGAGAAGATCTGCATGCACTATACAAAAAATAATGTCATCTGTATTGCTTGAGCAACCTTATATGTGGTGCAACTTAATTACATTTTAATGGTCCACTTCAATCAATAAATCAGAATATTAAGCAGTTGTCATTTTTAATGTCTATCCATTATTTTTATGTCACGGACAAAAGATGATATTTGTGACCATATGTGATTGCGAAGGGCCACGAAATAGATTATGGCATTAAAACTCTCTATAATCCACCAAGGGTTAGTAACTATAATAGCTGGTAATATGTTATGTCAGTTTTTCTGTTAGGGATGATACAATGCAAACTGTATATAAGTGTCACATGTAATCTCGCATTGATGTGATCTTCAATAATACAATTCATGTTCCATTTTTTTAATAAAAGAGTCTCTTAAATAGGGTGCACAAAATAAACTGAAATAAACTTATAAAAATAATATTGAATTAAAAAAAAAAAGTTTATCTAAACTAAGCTGCACATGCATTAGTTCAAACAAATTAAATTAAATATTTCTTTTATTTTATTGAATTGAACTACACTATAAAACTTGAATTAAACTACAAGTTAAATTGTATTGAATTGTTATAATAGAGTTGAATTGTTTTGACCTCTTGACGCATCAAGACTGAACCAATTCATTAACTTTATTTTATTTTCTATTTTATTTAATTTTTTAAAAGGAAAATATATATATATATATAAAATATCAAGCCAAATAGATCCGATAGATCTAATAGGTTTCAAGCCTAAATATTAGTAGCCTAACATAGTCTTGTTGGCTCATTAGATATGGTCAAATTCACACAATTTGTTATGGATCACTTTTTTTAAAGTTTAGGTTATTAGATTACCAAGATAAATCATTAAGATAAATTATTTTAGACACATTTAATATTTACTTTTTATAAATAAATAAAAAATAGCTCAACTTTTACAATTCAAATCAATTTTTTTACAAACACTTCAATTTTTATAGTACAGTTTAATTTAATTTATCATCATTTCAATTCAATTTAGTTTTTTCTTGTCCACCTGTATTCCTAAACTTGAAAAATGGAAATCAAATATATGTCAGGACACGATTGATCCAAGGGTAAGTTTAATAAAACTCAAATTTTAGGTTTATTAACAAAAAAAACTATTTGTTGTTTCGGTGTATTGTAAATGATTGATAGGGTCTTAGTTGTCGACCTAGTTGGAATTTTTGACTCTATTATGATGACTTTGCATGACAATTCTTAAAAAAAGGGGGAAAAATATTTGTTATTTATTAGTTTTTGTAAAGTAAAAAAGCAATATATTAATAAAAATACCAGGTGTATAACTTTCTAAGTTTCTCTAGTTTAAGTCTCGGTTGTGTTGTCGTACCAAACTCTAGATGTCATATTCTAGTCATCTTGTTTCTAAATCTTTATGATGAGCAAAGAGAGTGAATAAGGTATACCTGTTAGTGGTTAGATGATGAACACGACCTATCATTGTTGATTTATCATTCTAACCACAAAATCTCTACAAATTATAAGGGTTTTAGGTTGTTGATTTAGATGGATGACAATACAAACTTGCTAATTAATTATGTCAATAATGACAAAGAAAAGATAAAACCAACAATCCTGTCATAACTAAAGAAATCACAATTCATAAGGGCACTTGAGATGCTCAAAAAATCATTGGCTCTGCTTTGTATTCTGTCTAAACGATAAATAATGTCAGGGTTATAAGACTTCATTTTAATCCTTCAAAAATAGTAATTGTCAAATAACCCATTTTAATATAAATATATATCTAACACAACTATATATTTAACATTCAAATCTCCTAATTTAGTAATATATAAAAAAAGATATCATTTATTCATTATTTATTTATCATTCCATTCACTTTTCAAATAATAAAATAAAACATTTTTTTTCATTCTATCTTAAAATATTCAAAGTGTAACGAAAAAAAATATTATTCAAATGATAAGATGAAAAGACCAACCAACAATATCCAAGGTTAGGGATAAATTTCACCTTTGCATGGTGTCTTTATTTGAGGATCCAGCTTCATAATAATTTATCTATTTTAGGGAGACTAAATGATGTTCAAGCAGTCACATCGCATCTCGAAAACTATCCTTATAATGCAAAACTTTTTTTGTATACTTTATAATAATTGCAACTATATCTTCGTACACATGGCTCCCTTTGTTTTTTTTTTTTATCAAGTATAAACTTTGTTTATAAAACTTAAATAAGACTAAAGTCTACCCTTATCTCGTTAAAAACGAATGTACAAATAAAATAGCCACCATACAGAAGACAACCAACCACATTTGTCTTTTATTATTCTATAATTAAAAAATAAATATGCAGACAAAATTGGAAATTTTACTTTACTTGCGGTTAACCTCAACCAAGGTATTTTGTTCATTCATTTTTTGTTGAAATGATGCTAGCCATTATAATTATATAAATTGGCGAAGACTACCAACTTCCCTTTGAAGAGATCAATTTTTAAGGAAAGTTTATTTGCTACCCTTCCTTTGTGTGATAATACCATAACCCTTTCTGTAATTACTAACCAACATTTTGTCATATGTATTTTTGGCTTGGTCAGGCTAGGTTTTGTTAGATAAGTGCAACCTTGGTTAAAAATATATATTTTTATTCAAGTTTTATCAGTTGACCTAGCCTGACGTATATAAAAATTTACTCTAATATACAATTCTATTTAAAGACATCTTTTTGTAATAATTTAACACCAAGATAAAAATGAAATATGTATGTTAAGTTTTCCAAGAATTAAACCTATAAATTGGATTCAAACTTATCTTTCAATAACTTAAAAACTCGATTCTTGATTCTATATAAGTTAACATACTTAACATTTCAAAATTAATATATATATATATATATATATATATATATATAATTTCAATACATTATAATAATAACAACACATTTATTTATTTTTATTTAATAAGTCAACATGTTCGATCTATTTTCTAAATAAATAAAATAAAAATAAAAAAACTGGTCTAATTTAAACTTAATGCAGACTTATCCATTGATCTCTAGCACAATTTAACATATTTCCACCTGTCTCAATTAAAATACAATTTCATAATATATTTCTTCGATTTAAGCCTGTATCATCATAGAAACAAATGGCCTCAAATGAATGCCCTTTCTTTTCCATTTTATCAATAATAATGGCTCTTATAAAAAGTTGATTATTTTTTTAACCTGGAAGTTTTATGTCAATATGAGAAGAGAATCTTGTAAATCTTGTTTTCAAAAGAGTGTCTCATATGAGAAAAAAGAAGAAAGGAAACAAACCACATCAATTTTTTGTTCAATTTTGTGCATATAGGGTCCGACAGCTCAATTACTAGAGGAAGGAGAAGCTCACAGCAATTTTGGCATTTTTTCTCATCATAATACCCATCTTCCCCACAAGCAATTAAGATTACACTAGATTACAAATGCTAAGTGGATACATACATCTATCTCATTCAATCATAAATTGTTTTGGGGCCCACCCTGTACATGATTAGATACAGATCCATTTACAGATACAACAATCATTAAACAACCGTTGTTGGGCAATAAATTGACCCTGCTAGAAAATAGAACGAGATACACAATGGGCAAAACAAATGAAGTATTAGGATATCAAAGATTGCATGCGTAAGCAATACAAGGATACAAGGTATGACTACGATATGATATGAATGTAGCAGCAAGCAATACAAAGGTGAAAATCAAACAGTAATAGGTAACTCCTTAATTTCCTTTATTAAGTCTATCTAGTATGGACATAAGGGAAACAAAAATATAGAACAGGACACATGATATGTATATACAGGCATGACCACTCAGGCAGTGCTGCTCATAACAAGGAAAAACAATACTAATACAGATAAAAATGCTCGTGAAGCAAAAAGGTTAATCAATCATCCTTGTAAACTTTGCAAGGTTTAGTTTCAAAACCACCACCTGCCCTCTCCTCCAACGTATAAGGCATGTAAGTACCCAAGATTTTGTCCCACATGATGAAGAATGGTTGTGAGAAGTTGTACTTGTTGCCATAGAGCTGATGGTGTACGTCGTGGTAGGCTGAGTTATTTTTGAAAAATATGTGGAAAAGGTTGCCAGGGAGCAATAAGCCACAGTGATCATCCACTGTTTTAATTGTGGCGAAGGAGAAGAAGAAGATCGAGGCTCGAGGACTCATCCCGGAGAGTAGGAAAGATAGAGCCCCACCAACGGTGTCATTCAGAAGCCCCTCCACAGGGTGATTGTACAGAGCTCCAAAGGAATAGGGTACAATGAGTCTGTGATGTAGAGAGTGGATATGTTTGTATAGGAACTTGTTGTGATGCATGTATCTGTGCATAAAGTATTGCCATGCGTCCATTACAAGCATAGCAGTAACAAACTGTCTTGCTAAAACAAGTAGAGAAGTATTCTGGCTGGTAGTATTTTGGCTATCACTTCCTGTCAGCTACACAAAAAAAAAGACCCAATTACAATTTTGTTATCCAGAACCCATCATAATTTTGCAATAATTCAACATATTAAACACAGAAGGTACAATTAGATCAATGAATTCCACAACGAAATGTTACTCAAGATTTAGCAAGACAACAGTCCATTGGTTTAAATGTTTGCACAGTCAATCAACTTTTTTTAAAATGGAAAAAAAAAATCCATTAACCTTTAGTGTACCAAAACAAATCCTTATTCACATTATTTTTTGTCTAATTAAGAATGCAAATCTGAATACTTTTAAGAGGAATTTGGCATAGAATTTTTATTTTTCCAAGAATCTAAAGTTGGTTATATTAATTTTCCATGTTTTGTTTATTATTTTTTTCTGGGAAACATTGTTTCCCGGGAATGCTTCTTACTTAATAAGGTTGCCACAAAATTGTTCACATAGAAAAAGTGGGAATCTAACATTCCTCGGTTAAAAGAAAAGATTTCCATGTTAAAAAAAAAGTATTTTATTACAGTAAAAATATCATGTTACTCCTTCTAGACCTATATATAAACATAAAATACTCAAATTCCTTGAATTGAAATATATGCAAATTTCAACAAATTCAACTTTATTTAATGTTATTATTCCAAAAATACACAAGACAATAAATGAAAGCACTATCTACAATAATTTTTTAATAATATTTTAGAAAATATAGTGTATGTTTTGTATGAGATCATGAAAATTAAATGAATTTAACTAACTATTTAAATTTGTGTAAAATAAGGCATTTTACTTATATATGTGTCCAAAAGGAGTATCTTTATTTTCTTATTTAATGCAATAAAAATCTTCAAATTCCAAGTAACATATATAAATATTCTTGGAAACATTTATGACCAACCAAATACATTTTAATTATTCCTAGAAATTATGATATCTGGATATTTATGATTACTAGAAATCATAATTCCTTGATGTGAAAAAATTTGCCTTCTACCAAACACTTCCTTAAGAAAGTCTCAATGGTATAGCATAAGATTTGTTATAAGCTTAGGCATTTGGTGTAAAGCCCGTGGCCTTTTTGACAGGTCTTATATTTTGAGTAATTGGGTTGCTCCAATGATTTTCTACTTTTTCATTGTTGTTTTGCATAATGCTCTTATGATCCAGGACGATTCCTTATTCTCCATCACTCGGTAATTTTTTCACTGTCTTCGTGAATTTCTTCTATAAAAAATTTAAAAAACAAAAAAAGTCAACTGTAACTATTCAATGTTCTTATGTCTGTTTAAATAGTCAATTCCCTTTGTTTTCCACAAAAAACTATTCAAAAGCCAAAATTAAGAAGTATAAAGTAATCAGTCACCCATTATCATCAAAACTGGATTATGTTCTTCAATTTTTTCCATACACATTAAAGAGTCAGGTTAGTTCATTGGTTTTGAAAGTCAACATACTCCACTCAAAAAAGTCCCCCTTATACAATCCATTAGGATGGAATTTTTTATCAGGGGAACAGAATACTATTAATACATCCACCACAAGCATAATTTTCAACATCCCGAGCACGCAAAAAAGTTATGAAGGCAGACAAAATCAAGAGTTCAATGTCCTCTAGTCAGGGAAACTAAAACAAACTTTCTGCACTGGAGGTCTGAACTTGTTGCCTTTTTGAAAGCAAGATACTCAATTTGGGTTCATAACATACCCCTTAGAAATGACTATAGGTATAACCTAGTAAAGTATCTACAGCTACAAACTCTTCCTTATGTGATTAGCCTATGATAAACATATAGGTCAAACAACAATTCAATCACATACACGCATTAAATTCTCAACCCCTAATAGAGAATTGAGCATGAAAGCCACGTATACAAAATAGCAACTAAACCTTATAAGAATCAACAAGGAAAAACACCATTATTACATACCAAACTAGGCAAACTAGGCAAATTAGGCAAAGCACACATAACATTTGCAAATGAGGATTACTTGCGAGTTGTGACATAATAAACACAACCAAATAAAAAATAATGAAACGACTACTTTGTTAGGTGTCTAGTGTATTCCATTCCTCAAAAGACGTAAAGGAGCCAAAACATAAAGCTGTTGGGCAATTAAACCTCTTAAAAGCTGTTTTGCCAATGCAAAATTGACTTAATTAATGCATCTTCTCATAAAGAATCATTCACAAATAAATAAAGCTAGAAAAGCCCAGAAATTTATCACCTTAAAACTTACCGCAAACAAGAGGGTTGCAACCACAGCCTGAACTAGCTGTTGGAGGAGAACACCTTTAACGACAGCACCCTTTGACACCAAATTTTTTTCATCTTCTTCTTGCTGCGAGTGTAACCGATAACTCTCAGCAAACAACCCCAGAACAACGTAAATCCCAGAATAAACCCAGTAAACTACTATTGGCACAAAAGTGCCTAACATCTCATCAGAAACCCCGAAATCCATTTCCCACTACCCCAGAAGAAAAAATGGATTATTTTCGTTGATTTGATTTAACAACCACCCACCAGAGTCAAAACTTGCATAAATTTCAGAGTCTCAAGAAACAAGAGGATCGGCACCAAACGAAGAAACCCTAATTAAAAACCGAAAAATTGAACCTCACTCCTCTTGTTCCTCCAACCCCAAATGATTGATTGGTTAAGCCTGCAACCCCAATTAAAAATAGCTCAAGTATTAAATAATGAGTAGGTACGTAATCAGAGTTAGGGTTCCACGCAGAAGGAAGATTCCAAAGAGAGAGAGAGAAAAGAGAGAATGTTGAAATTGCTTGCAGGTTCGTGACTCTTCATGCTAGCGGAAAATATCACGCGATCGTGTGTGCAGAGGCCTACGAACGTACCGTGGTCCCCTCGCACAAGTGGGCGTTGTTGCAACCGTGGAAAAGGCTGTTATTGGTTGGGAGTAAGGAGTTCGTGTGGTCGTGTCCGCAGAGGATTGGAGCCGTGGGGAGTGGCATTATCAAAACGACGCCGGGTTTGACCGGTTAAGGTGGGAACCTGTTTTGAATGTGTGGCCGTTCGAGTTGACACAGAGTCAGTTATGCGCCACACATGGCAAAGGACAAGTGAATCCAAACTCATGTTTTCTTCTTTTTTTTTTACCTTTTGGGGTATAAAAATTTTCATTTTAAACTTGTTTGCTATTTTAAACTATTATAATAACTAGATTTGATATAGTCCATGACAAACAATAAAAGAATCCTATACCATGTTCTTAATGTAAGTTACAAAAGCTCTCTGTTTTTTTCGTTAAAGGTAATATATTTAACAAAAAGTTTAATTATAGTTTCTCTCATTGACCTCTATTGTTAGACTAACTCCTACTTAGTTAAGACAACCCTTAAAATGAATTATGAGTTCTGATGCTGTTTGTCACTTTATGATATAAAATAAAAAATTGAAAAGCATCTTAACCATTATTATAATTAGAATATAATTTATGTTTATATACAATAATTAAACAAAAATAATAATCTTACTAATCAGTATCCTTGGTACTAGTTAAGGAATTAATATAGATGATTTTTTTTATTAAAAATAACAATAGTATTGGGTCTCCAATTATATCTTTCAATAAAAAAAATTACTTTTAATTTCTTAAAGAATACCCTACGAATTGGTTAGCATTTCCCTAAAATATATTGTTTAATATGTCTTATTCTATACATCACTTACCACACACACATAAAACATTTAGAGACTGGTTGATAGTTTTATATAAAGAAAATTAAAAAATATATATATCTAAATGCAGAATTGCCTTGTGATAATACAGATAGACTGATATGTCATATATAAATATAAATTAGACAAAACTTTAAAATATTAATAGAAAATAAAAATAAAAATTGGAGTTAACTAGATAGGGATGCAACCACAAAACATAGCTTCTAGAAATTTAAAAAACTTGGACGCCCATAGTTGTTTGTTTTTCGGAGGCTCATAAATGACAAGAGAAACAATTTCCATTAAATTTTGTGTATAAAGTCAGAAGGCAACCTTACAATTTCCTAAGACTTAGACTGTAGCCGCCTCTTTTGAATTTTTTGTTAACCCAAAAAGCTGATGCATTGTGTGAAAGACTTTTTTTTGCTTCTAGTAATATTTATTTCTTATACATTAAGTATAAATACTCCCAACTATACGAATTTTTTATTATTATAATATTTTTTTTAAAATAAATTTCCTGAATTCCTTCTAGTATTTACGAAACTGAACCTCTTTTTTATAGCGTTCGAAATTTGATTTTCTGGAAATCAAATTTCGAATTTTACGTAAAAATTATTTTATTAATTATATAAATTTGTATATAAAATAATTTATAATTATAAAAATTAATAGATTAATATTTTATAATATTAATA